TATTCCTTGTCACCATCCGATTATATATTACTAGTACCCCGGAATACGTTCAGCTGTAGTGTCGTACCAACAATTCAGATGTAATACAATTCCTTATTTAAGTACCTTGATGCGCATCCACCTCACTCGAGACTCTACCTCAACACATGAGTTGACAGGTGGCGTCTGTTCTGTGGTTTTCAGCAAAATTTATGTGGCAGGAATGTGAACTCTGCGAACATCAGTTCGAAAATGCTACTACAGTATGTTAGTACTAACTATCTGTGTAGACAGTTATACAAAGTTCGAAACAAGCGACAACGGAAGAACTTTTCGACGTTGCATCTTTGTCCCAGCATGCTTTGTGAACTGCGTCGACATGTGCAAAAAACTGGTTACGCTGGATGGGTGCCACCTGAAGGGTATAACAGTAAGCCCGGGGAATTCCTGGCTGCTAGTATGAGAGACGGGTCCAACGAGAACCTCCTCGTGGCACTAGCAATTGTGCCCATTGAGAGCGAAGTCGAATGGACATGGTTTCTCCAATAGCTTAAACAGTCGAAGTTGAGCATCCCTGCACGATTTTTGTTTGTATCCGATCGGTGGAAAGGTGCGAACCTATCCTACTGTGTCGCACATGATAGCTTTCGTGTAAGTGACACTATTTAGGGCTAACCAATGCCATTCGTATCGAGTTTCCTGAGAGCTGGAACCGGTTCTGCATGTATCATGTGTTCAACAATATCCGCACCAAGAAGATTGCAGTCAATGACTTGGACAAGACGACAATTTACGGCGTAGCAGACGCACGTTCCAAGGATGCGTTCGAATCGTCGATGCTCACGCTCAAGGCCAATCTTCCCCGGGCGTACCAGTACCTCGTCGACATTCAACCTGGAAGCGAAGGATGGGTTCAGTATTAATTGTAAGTAAGCAATTGGTCGTTACCTATCTTGTCAACCTTGTCAAGTGCACATCACAGCTGTAACGTTAACATTGTAAGTATGCTTCAATTTTTAATTCGAGTTCACGAAGTCATCCGGATGACAAATCCGGATACGAACGGCACATCACTCCCACCAACGATCCAAACGCAACAGAATGCCAAGCAATGTCGTGCCCCATAGGGAGCAACGTCAAAAGACCCGCGCTCAGTAGTCGTGGGCCCGCTTCGGCCTGCCGATTGATTTGCTGAGCCGGATACCGGCGTCCGTCTCTGTCTATGGGAGTGCCAGGCATTGTAAGGTATTATGTTGTCGTGATATTGCGCAAGCAAACCACCGGTCAAAAATGCTTATACATTCAAAATGAACCTGCCTAACTGACGATTCTGTAGATTGGTTTGAGCCATCAAGGTCAACTGACTCGTCAAGAATGTCGGAGGTATCGTCCAATTCTTGAATGAAATCATCACCATTTGGCATTTGACGTAGCTTCGACATCAAGATTGCCGCCGACTCCTCTTCCGCGGCTGACGTTGGACTTGCAGTTCCTTCGTGAACAGGTACTTCCGCACCATTGATGAGATTGCACTTGACAAAACCACGTACAATCGTAGACTTGGGCATTGCTTCCCACGCTTCGTTGACCCATTCAACGAGATTGTCGCGAGACGGTGGTCGCAACTTGAATGAAGGTTGCACTTGATCTGTCTTGGTTTTGTATTTCATGGCGCAGATATGTGACCCAACGAAGGCGCATGGACGCTTTCAACGGCTTCATCCAAGCAACGTCGGCCGGTTGGCAAACCCGCTTGAAGGTAGGTGGATTCTTCTCGAGCAATACGTCCAAGGATTCGGCGCAGGCGACCACGTCGTCACTGAAGTGGGTGCTGAAGTCGTCCCACAATAGTAGGATTTTCTTCATGTTTTTGTCCTTGCGGTATCCAAAGTAGTACTGAGAAATTCCTAGGAAATGTGACCATTCCACGATGCCGTACGGTTGCCGTACAAGCGCGATGCGTGGCGTTCATGGAGTTCTTCAACCTCGGGGCACACCACAGGGCCAAATCCGTTCCGCTTGGTGAGGTTCTCGACGACTGTTGCCTTCACCTTTGGTGCTCTTGACTTTAGGACCAAGAACATGGGGTACTTCGTTCCCTTGTTGTCGGCGAGCAGCATGGCCGTCATCCTGTCCTTTTCGTGGCCGGAGCAGCGAATCCACCCGGTATTGGCCCCGCAGCGATCAATGGCGTGTTTGGGGATGTACTCAAAGTTGATTCCGGTTTGATCGGCATTGTAGATGTCGTCGATGGCTTCCGTTTGCACCAACTGGCGGATTCGGTTGCTGAACGCTGCTAGAGCCGCCTCCCCTCGTTCTAGATTAGACTGCCTGGACCTTGAGACTTGGCCCGCATAGCTAGTTTCCAACGCTTGATAAAGCCCGAAATCCACGATGGGCTTTCCTTGAACCGATTGTCGGTCAAGCCGAGGTCTTTAGCCACCTCCAGTGCCTTGCATTGCAAGAGGAACTTGCTTACTGGGATACCCTCAGATCGCATATCGCACACCCATTGCGGAATTTGTTCCTCATATTCACTTGATAAGGTGGTTGCACATCCAGCGGGGCGACAGATGTTCTGGGTTGTAGTCGCTGGGATGTTTGCCATCTTGGTGATGTGGGGGCGGTTGTGTTCCCATCGCAGCACACGTTTGAAGGCTGACGACCGAGCAATCCCTTCGGCGCCCCAGAAAAAAGTGTCCAAAGCCGAGTCCATGGAATGCTGCTTCCGCCAATTGATGATGTGGAGCTGCTTGGCGTAACTAAAGTAGTGCCGTCGGTGCTGTGGAGGTCCATTCCGTCGGCAGTTCTTTACTACTGGTCGTCCTATTGCCTTCCTGTGGGGAGCTTTGGTACTCGGTGGTGCCATCCAAGTTTTGAATGTGACCGTAGTCATGTGAATGACACGCAAATTTCCCGCTCAGTAAATACTCTTAAATAGGATATGTAATAAGATTCTAAAGGTCACCAATATCGAGGGGTCACCTTGGTAATTTAAGTTTTCAAGTACTATATTTGGTTTTACCATTCACACATGACAACGGATCAGTATGTTATTAACAGTAAACATTCAATGCAATAAAATCCAAGGAAAACGAATCTGTATTTAAAAAGTTTACACTACAGTATTAATACCATGACCTGCATACACTGCTCATGCGTTCCTCTTGTTCCAGACGCGTATCCATTAATTCCACTGTAATCGCGTCATCCTCAACCACATTGCTCCGAGGGATCTTGTAGTTCCCGCCATTGACCCCAACAATCGCATGCATTACCCGTCGCCAGGTTCGAAACGTCTCCTCCAAAGTCAATGATGGCAGACTTGAACGATTCCTTGACAGGTCCTTCATGGACCGACATTCCATTTTCTGCTGCAGTGACTGAATAGAGTTGAAGAAGCCCAGGTCTAGAACTTTCAGGTCCTCAGTCGCCGGACCTGAACGTTCTAGACATGGGCTTCTTCAATTCTATTGTGCCAATTACGCTCAGTTGCCGCTTGAACAAACAAGGCATCGTCGACAGCAATGTGCCTCATTTGTGCTTACTTGCTGAAGCTCTTGTACAGCGCCATGCGCTTGTCGTTTGTCAAATTTGATTTGGAATTTATATTGCGAGCAGACATGGAGGCGTAGCAAGTGCGAATATGGTCATATAATTCAACAAAAAATATGATCAGAATCGCCTCAATAAGAAGATTTCGCAAGCGTCGGTTATTTGTTCGCGTTCAGCTCACGCAACAACAACGGCAGCGGCAACGACAGATATTTTTTTATGATCTATCAAAAACCTCGCCCATTGGCTAATCCATTCATGCTAGATTATGATTGGCTACTCAGAAAACAGCCTTTCAAGGATCATACTTCAGAAAATGTGCTGCACTTCACAACACCCACGCGGACACCCACCATGGACGTTGCAGACACTCCCGCCAGGAACACGATATCCTCACAAAGCCCACAAACCGAGGTGGGGGACTCAACCTCGTTGTACGAGCTCACATTTGAGCCTATGGTCAAAGAGACTGTCGGTGAGCGCAACACGTCCGCTGTAAGGATGGCAACGTTCGTCTGTGGTGGTGCGTCGTTGAGTGAAATCAATCGTTTTCTCGTCCTTACCATGGATGACTGCCAAACGAGACTTCTTTATTCCAAGGAAGTAGTAGCCGTAGAGGAAGTGCATCAGTGTTGGGGCTGTCGTGTCGGTGGAAGATAACAGACTCAATGGCGCTCATGGGTATCGACGAGCAGCCAGAAGGGCGTGCGTTTGGAAATGGCGCGTAAGTGCGAAACTACCAAACTTACAGACTAACCAATCAAACGCCGTCGCGTGGGGGTTTATGAAAGTTGGGCTCTGAACCTCTCCATATCCGGAAATTCCCAGCAAATCGACAATATGACGAAAATACTGTTTTTAACAGTAATTTTTTATGTACGGATGCGCTCAACATGTATCCGGAAATGTTTTGTGTTGTAGTGCAAGTTCCACTACCTTCATTATTTTATCCAATCAATGAACGTAATGGTTTTGATTGGACATAAAAACACTGAGGCTGACATACATACTTGTGCCTCATATCACTAACCTTGGAGAGGTGCAGTAGTCGACACAATGCCCACAAGACACACATGATTCCTTGGGTATCGTTATGCGATGGACGAGTTGGTGGTGGTATACAGGATTATAAACTTGGTTGAAAAACCCACTTTGCATCACTTGTGTACGTAACTACTACAAATAAACACGTAGCGTGAGGGAATGAGTGAATTGGTTGTTCCTCTAAGCATCAGCCATCCTCCAACGCTTCCTTGCACGCCAATCGGACCCCAGCATCAAATGGTACAATCAACAGTCACTGCCACACTTCGTAATGCACTTTCATACAGCTTAGAAGTGTATTTGATGGTGTGGTGATGAGATGCGCAGTGCTGGTGGTCACAAGCGCTGCGCATGTCATCACCATGCCATCAAGTACCCTTCTAGTGAAAAAAAGTAGTGTGAACTTGTTGGTGGTCGATTTAGAGAAAACACAGTCGATGTGACATGGCTAGTCGTGATGATGTACTGCATGTACTGTACAATGGAGCGATGGGGTGGTCACATGTGCAGCAATCGTAGTCACTGGGGTAACGTTAACAGGGTTTTTGGGCATGATTCTGGAGCGTAGGGTGGGGTGGTACTGTAGTGATGGGTGGTAATCACATTGACGGCTAGTCAGTACCCCCATCACCCCCTAATGTAGCGATGTGGCAGGTGTGGGTAACGCCTTGCCAACACCTTGCCCGCACCCAGCTCCTAAGTACCTGGCTCATGACGCACCCTAGTTAATGCTTGCCTGGGAATGTGTCTCAAGGGCAAGTCTGGCTTAGAATCGCTAGGCTAGTGAAGTTCCCCAATGTATCAACCGCACCCGCATCCATTGTATACAAAAGGGCATATTAGTGTAGAAGTAGTGAAGTAGACTAAGAAGATTTCATAGTGATGAGCATTAAGGAGATCTTAGTAGATCCTCAGTTACTTCATTGTGCATTTTGCCCTCAACTGCATACGCTTCCTCCCGCAGTGCTACAATTGGTAGCACTTCCTGGTTTCCTCGCTCCAAGCCCCGTTAACTGGCCGTACGTAGCCAGTCTTCTTAGACGGTCGTGTGGTCGTTTGCAGAGACAGCACATCGCCAAAGGTTTTGAAAACGTGGTCTTTGCTACCCGTTACCTGGTGATAGTCTAAGCATACACGTTCTGAGTGATCTGCTAATACATGCCCCGTAGCAAGACCCGCAAGCCCCAACTCGCGGCCACAAAAGACATAGGCGAACTATTCGACTATCCGGATCTGCCGGTTAAGCTACGCCAAGACATTTGCGTGTTAACCCGTCACCAACGCGTGGATATCAAGAAGTTGCGTGCCCAGATCCCCGAAGGGAAGAACTCCGACGCCCGCAACGCTATCCAAGAGAACACAGACTTATTGATCCACCGGAACGACCAAATCGAAGAACTGATTGAAGGAGTCCTCGACCGCAAGATCCAAGTGTACCAGAAGGCCCGCAAGATCAAGGCTGAAGCGAGAGTAGATCGAAGTTCGAAGTAGAGTAATTCAATTTCACCAGAATAACAAGATGGATGAAGTTTTGCGCACAATGGCAGAATCCTTTCAGCGACATGAACAGCTGTTGGAAATGCTTACCCGTACCCAAGCCGCTCAAGTGGAAGCGAGCGAGCGAATGGCCAGTCAACACATCGAACGAGCGACACAACAAACAGAACTTAGAGTTGAAGGATTAAAAATGCCCAAGTATTTTGGACGAATGGACGAAAGTATTAGCCTATACATCCACCAAGTGACGACCATTTTCAAGGCAAATAATGTGGATTACCAAGAAAACGACGGGACTCAACAGCGATGCATTGCCATGATGGTGGCAAATTTCTGAGGCCTTGCCGCAGCCTGGTACCAAGAACGGCTTTCGCGCGGTGAGTCTCCAAACACCCTAATCGAACTGGAAGAAGAGCTGCGAGCCGAGTTTGAACCCGACGATTTGCAAGATCGGCTGCGTGATCAGCTTTACGAATTGAAGCAAGCCCACTGTGCGAGCTTGACCGAGTATGTTGCCAAGTTCCGACGAATCTGTACGCAAGTGTGCGACATGATCGAGCGCGACAAGGTGTCCTGGTTCCAACGCGGTCTGCGAACCAGAACCCGTGAGGAGCTGCAGTATCGTCGCTGCGAGACTGTGACTCTCGCGATCCAAGTTGCCCTGGACTATGAACGCTCCCACAATTCGACCCTTAATGGTGGTCACACCAGAGACCGCGACCGCTTTCATCGCCACGATAGCCGCCCGCATCAAGGATTTCAAGATCGCCGCCATCAGTTCAACAACCGACACCAAGGAAGTCGCCCACCGCATGCGTATCCTCCACGCCAGCGCCAAGATGATGACATGGAAGTAGACAACGCCCAAGTACAACACCGTGGACAACGCCAAGTAGGCCCCTGTTACAACTGCGGACGCATGGGCCACAGAATCAGTGACTGCCGCTCTCAACCCCGGAACAATCAAGGAAGAAGCCAAGCTCAACCCCAGCGCAACAACAACTCAAGACATGCCAACCGGCCTCAGCGACCCCAGCGCAATACACCAAGTCGTCAGCACAATGCTCAAGTAACCGAAGTCAACAGCGACACAGAAG